ATCGTACATCTCTAGATGTTAAGCTGCATAATGAAATACTAATGAAATTACTACCTACACTCGCATCATTAGTCGATAAATTTATCTGGCCGATGATGTTAAACGATGTTGCAGGATTGAGAAATAAACAGGATCAATTACAAAAAATTTATAGCAATTTTAACTCTCAATTAAATTATTTGAAAACGGATTACACGGCTCGACGAAAACATAGTTCATCTCCACTGCCACAACTCTCTCCATCGCAACCAACGTCGAGTGCATCTAACAACACGCCGAATAATGAAACTGATCAAAATATGAGCCGATAGATGAGTACCTCATTTTCAAAATTACGAATAGATGCTAAATCCTTTTTTCCCTCTCGAATTTTTAATCTTAAAGAGACAGCGATGAACCAGTTGTATCAATGGGGGTTCCATGTAAATGATCAGAAAGTAGTAGACGAAGTTCTTTCAGAATGGTTCACAGCTGGCACCCTAGATAATATCCTCACACAGTGGGAAAGCAAAACTCAGAAAAAAGTAGAACGTACAAGGATGGGGGTCCAGAAGTTTAGAAGTAATCGATATTGTTTATAAAATAGAAGCATCAATATGTGTATTTACGGAAGTCGGAGAGTTATGGAATACATCACAAATACCCCATTTTAATATTTTTCATCAACATGGAACTAATAGAAGTGGTGGTGTATGCATAGCTATTAGAAAACATTTGAAAGGATCAAGAATCGACTTAAATATTGAAAATACAATTATTGTCGATGTCAATGGCCTCTCTGAAACAGTTAGAATAATTGCTATTTACTGGCCAGCAGACCAAACAAGAGTTTTAGAAGAATTAGAGTCATATATCACTAAAAATACAATCATAACTGGGGATTTCAATGCATCCGTAAAAGAATGGGGTAGCACGTCGGCAGATAAAAGAGGAAGAATTTTGAAAGCTTGGGGGGAAAAAAACAATCTTTGTTACATTCCCTCATTATCAAATTCTTCAAAACGTTCGAATAGAAACATCGATTTAACATTTACAAATTTAGGAGGAACAAGGGGAGAGACTCTAAAGATGGGTACCAGTGATCACTGGCCAATAATGATAACTTGTGAGAATTTAGTATTTGATAAGAATAGTATTTTCCCCCACGTGCATTGGAAGGCGTACGAAGCCATTCTCACGTTGCTGCAAGAATTTTGGCAAAGAGAGGAGAGTAGAGGGATACCAGTGGATGATTGGTATATGAATTATGTACGCTTTCTTGCTGCTTTAAAAAACAGACTAACACAATGGAAAGAAAAAGAAAAATTCCGACCAGCTCTACCTCCTTATCTTATTCGGAAGCTGCAAGAAGTGAAACGAATCAGAAATAAATATTATCGAGAGAGAAAAATATGTATTATAAATGAAGAAACAAGAGTGCTACTGCGGGTGTTAACAAGAGAAGTAAAAATTGAAATTGCAAAATATAAGACGAGTAGATGGCGAGAGTTTCTGTCAAAAATTCAAGAAACAAATGACAATAAGGAGCAAGCGTTTTGGCTTTATCTCTCACAAATATATAAACATAAATCACTACCGCTTTCGAAACTAGACACCGGAACAACAGTATTAATGAAGGAGAATGAAATCAAGGATGAACTTTATCGTTACTACTCGGAACAGTTCCAAATTCCAAATACAAATATGTCAGATCCTTATGAAGTTCAGATTGATATAGAGTATTTAGAACTGATGAATAAACTAGTATTGGCTAATGATAAGGTCGAAATGGCAAACATTGCCGAAATAAAGAAACACTTATCGAAGTTGAAGCCAAAAAAATCATGTGGATTCGATGCAGTGTCGAATTATATGATCAAAAGAATTCCACCAGGTTATATTAGTTGTCTAGCAAATTGCTTTAATACTTGGTTAAAAGAATATAGGTATCCAGATGTTTGGAAATTAGCTAAAATAATTACATTGAATAAACTTAAAGCAGGAGTACCTCGTTGCGAGCAAACACGACCAATATCACTTTTAGCAACACATTCCAAACTTTTTGAGAAAATTATGCTAGAAAGAATAAGACTATGGACTGAAACCAATAGTTCAGTTCCAATCGAACAGTCGGGATTTCGTCCAGGTTGTCTTCTTCCTACCAGAGTTCTATCTATATATCAAGAAGTCAAAAACAATATGACAGCTAATACTCCAACGCTAGCAATTTATGTAGACTATCAAAAGGCCTACGATAAAGTGTGGCATAAAGGGCTTATCGTAAAATCCAACAGACTCAGTATTCCTTTAGGACTATTAAAATTAATTGTATCGTGGTTAAATGATCGGCGTGCATATGTTATATTTGGAGAGAACAAGTCGGATATATTTTACACTTATGTCGGTCTGCCTCAATGTAGTAGTTTAAGTCCATATCTGTTTATTGTCTATCATTGTGACCTAGTTGCATGTGTAGGTGCTCATTCTAGCCACATATTTGCGGATGATCTCAACATACGCATATCTCCGCCAATATGCCGTGATATAAAACCAATGATTAAGTTTCTAGAAGAGGAAGGAACTAAAATTTGTAACCAAATAGCGAACTATTCGAAAAAATGGAAACAACCAGTTAATGTATCTAAAACAGTAGCACAGACTTTTCACACACAAGTGCAAAATCCAGTAATCAATGTTTTTATGGATGGCAAGAAATTAGAAGTAGTTAAAGAGTTTAAGTATCTAGGCTTCGCCTGGACGAATAAGATGTTCTTAAAACCAACAATTGATAAAACTCTTGAGAATATTCAAAGAACATTCAGTAAGTTAAGATGGATGAAAGGTGGTAAAACTGTCTCAACAGACGTTTTGAGAAGATGTTTCTTTGCGTACAGTTTTCCGTATTTTGTCTGGATGTTTCCACTGTATCCATTCCTACCGAAAACCCAAAAAGAGTCGTTGTTAAGAAAGTTTAGAAACGGATTAAGACTAGTTCATCGCTGTCCCTTTGCTCGAGCAACAAACGTTCCACAAATAACAAAAGAAGACTCTTTAGAAGACTATGTAAAACGATATATAAAGAAAAGATTAGAACGAATTGAAAAATCAGATTTATGTCGCTCGCCCTTCTACAATGATATTTTTTATTGGGATTCATTCCATAAAAAGCTTGTTAGCGCAGCCCCTTTGGGGCTGAAATGTGGAACTCACATATATCCCTTCGGCTTACTAAAATAATTCAACATAGTTCATCTGAAAAATCTACCCTGATTTCCAAAACTTATAATTAGGTCTTTGCCTATTTGCTTATGTCTGCAATCGAGTATTAATTATTAGCTGGTATATTTAACAATGGCAGATACTAATTACTATTGTCTGTAATGGCACCCTAAGCTAGTTACTATGGTCTGTAATGGTACCCTAAGCTAGTTACTATGGTCTGTAATGGGTAACCATTGCGCTTTTCGTGTAGTCTGTAATTGAAAAAGGAAGAAATAGCAGCCTGATTAGTCAAGCTCCTAATTAGCACAATTTTAGACTAATTAATGTCTGTAATGGGGAGGGGGGGGGGCGGAGAGCGGCAAAAATCTCGCTTATAAACTTACACTCACCATTTTCTTCGAAAATATATGTGAGTTCCACAAAATAAGAATGATCACTTAGGTCATTTCTTTCGAATGAAGCGAGTCAGACACAAACGTGACAGACATCAATCGCTGCTTCTGAAACGGCTTGAATTTTTAGTTGAATGAAATCCGCCATGTGTTCTTTCTTTGTTTTTTGTTTAATGTTTCGTGCTCTCTACCTCTCGCTCTTTTAGCGCGTCCATATTTTTCCTTTTCCTTTTCTTTATTCTCATTTACTCCCTTATTTTATTTTTCTTTTTTCTTTTCGGGTTATTTACATGTATAATTCTATACATCACACTCTATCTAGCAAGCATGGCATCTTATGATTGTATTGTTCTCTCTTCTGCATTTTAATAGTTCATTGCCGTGGTAATCAAACACATGGAAATTCTTACGGCAACTCTTGTAAGCACTTCCGAGTGTAACAATAAAAAAAAAGGAGCGAAATTTAAAAAAAAAAGATAAACTGTTCCAAGAACGTAGTTGTGAATCCGTTGCTCCAATTTTTTAGACGTACTGATAGACAAGCATTTTGATTTCAATAATCATTTGCATATATAAATGTTCAGTTTTATTTACAACTGGTAAAAACTCATGTCTCACAAGAAAACAAACTATACTAGCAAAATTATTTTCTGGGTCTAAAATTTTATATTTCAATATTTGAATGCGTTTTTCTTTGTGTAAGGCGTTCTTTATATATAACTCCTTTAAGCCGATGGTTATCCATCATTCAATAAAACTTTTACTAATATATGATAAACAAAAGAAAAATATATGAACAATGTATATATATATATGTCTGACATTATGTTATAAAAAGGAGACAAGAGAAAAAAACGAAAGAAAAGTTATATGTCATGAACTGAGAAAATTGGACAATACATGCAAGCTAAGTATTTGCTTCTTCGTTTTCTTTTTTGATATACATAAAAGCATCATAGCACAAACAAATACAAAAAAATGGAAGATCAAAAAGAGAAAAATAATAACAGGAAAATATTGATTTAATTTATGTTATTCACTCTTGACCCTCAGAATCATTATTACTACTATCAGCATCATCACAATTGTCATTATCATGGTGTTGTTCTACATTATTTGTATTAACTGATGTTAACGTTTGAGAAGTCTCGAAAGAAAAAAAAATAATAGATTTTTTTTCTATTTTATACTTGATGTTGAAGATGTTGTTGTTGTGATGCGTGAAATGGATTCTGTGCCGCATGTAATTGTCGAAACCCTAGGCATAATATTATAAATTAATTTTAATTAATTTTAAATTTTCTAACTTTCTGCTACTGGTTAAATAGCTTCAGGTGCTTCTTGATTTTGCATTGATGCTGAACAAATACCAGTATTAGCTGGAACTTTTGCAACTGCTTGGCTTTGTTGTTGTTCAGTATTTGTCCAAATAGAAGCTTCTTGTTCTTCAATATTTCTTGAAAAAGATGATGGTTTTTGCTGTTCAGTATTTCGTAAAACAGATGATTGTTGTTGTTGTTTAGCATTTCTCGAACTAATAGGTTGTTGTTGTCTTTGAGCAGGATCTGCAGCTGCTTTATTAACACGAGCACCACGTAACCAAGGATTTGGTAATGGATCAGTAATTTCAAAATGTGGTATTGTTGTATTATCTATATAAAAGAAAAAAAGTAGAGAATAGAAAACTTTTTTATCAATACTTTGAGTGTCATTAAATAATTGTGGAAATGTTTTATGACCAAATTGTTCTGCTGATGTTGAATCAATTAGTTCTTGTGCATTATTATAAGTATAAAAAAATGCATTTAAAGAACAGGGCACGCCGATCTATTGAAAAACAAAGCAACAGCTTAATAATAATATTTCAAGTACAATGTCGAATTATTTAATCATTTTTTTTATTACTATTCACCTGAATATTTCTTTTACGATAACGATAACGTTCAGTGCCATTATTTAATTTATTTAATTGATCTGGCGGCAAATTTTTAACCATGTGGCCTATTGTCAGGTCCTGATAAAGTTGTATCCTTGTTATTCTCTTTAAATTTTCTACATTTGCAAAATCCTGGGCAAATTCTGCTGATCTTAAATTACGAATTGCTTTATCTCCTATACGATGCAATTCTTCTAATATTTCATCCAATGCATTATTCTTAATGAATACAATAGAAAATAAAAAAATATTTTTCAGATTTATCTTACGTCCAATTTTGCATCATTCACATTCGGCCAAAAATTTGATAATATATTACATTCTTCTTCTTCATTGAGTTCTTCTTCGTCTTCTTCTATACTAGCTACTTGACGATGATTCATATGTTGATAAATCTAAAAGGCGATAAAAAAATCTAGAAAATATTTTTAACATCTAAAATAAAAAGTAAAAAAAAATAGAACATTTTAATTTTGTTTTGTTTTCATTTATCTAATCGTTCAATTTATTGTTATGTATGATTAATAGTATATGTTGATATTGTTTAGTAATATTCTTATCAAAATATTTGTTTAATGCTTATTCATATAATTATCCTATGTAACATTTCTCTAAATAACGGGCCCAAAAGGTTTAACGATACGACATAATACAGGTATTAATTTATCATTACTTTTTTTCTTCTTTGTTCTCAATTTCTAAAATGATAAAATTAATTTGTTTTAAATAAAAATAAGAACAAAAACAAGAAAAATTTTATTATATTTTTACCTGCTAGTTCGAATAACTTAATAATGAAATTTATCTGTTATTCTTAACCTTATTTCTAATTGTTCAACTGGTTTCGATTGATTAAATATTTCATTATAGAGAAATTTGTAAATATAACTTAAAAAAAGGAATATACAAGTTTTATGAAATTTCTAATTGTTTAGATAGAAAATTAATTGAAATTTTTCAAATATATTTTAAATAAAATAATTTTACTTTATACAATGTCTAACAGTCAATAATAATATTCTTTTTTTTTAATAACACGATCAAATTGATAACCAATTAATAAAAATATAAATATTTTTTGAATTATATTAATATTCAATAGGATCTCGATCTTTATCAAAATACACAAAATTCCAAACACTAAATCAATAAAATATATATTTGACTATTTTTTAATAAATATTTTCTTTTTTTAATACCTATAATTATAACATTGTATAAGTACTTCAACTTCAAGCATTCTATCTCTTGTCCATTAAAATTAATCTTTTTAATAAAAATTAAATAATTTAATCAATTTACAGTTGAACTTTTAAAATAAGTTAAATATTTTGATAAGAACATTGTAATTAACTTTCAAAATAAAAAACAGAACAAAAGAAATTATATTTAAAAACAATTAAATAAAAAGAAAATATTTTACTGCACTATATTCATTTTTTATTTAATTCAAAATGTTGAATACATTTTAATTAAACATCATAATGATGAACTTGAATAGAAAATAACTAAGAAACAGTAGAAAAAGAATTATTATTTAAAAAAATATATATCTTTTATTTACGTATTCATTTAAATCTTCTAATACTTTACGAAACAAATTGGATTTATCTAAATAAATAAATAAAATATTATAAAAAGAAATAATTCTTTGTTTTTATTTTTATGTTATATTTAAGCCTTGTGGAATATATTTTTTTCAAAGTTCATGATCTTCAAGATATGTATCCATACATACATAGATCTATGAAAATTACCAATTATTTAATTATTTGTTGTTCTTGTTTATCATTTATATCTTAATGTTTTTCTCATATTATTATTTAAAAAAATTTAATATTTCCTTTTCAACGATTATACCATATCACAATATTAACAATAAATAAACGATAGACGGAAAAGAAATCGATGGAATTTTCTTTTCGTCCAAATAACAGTTTGATGCACTATTTATACATCTATATTCTTCTTTTTTTTCCCTTCATTTCTAGTTAAAGACCCTGGATTAGAATCAGACAGACTGGACGAATTAAAACTGAACTAAGTAATAAAATTCGCATTGCTATGTAGAAACAACAATTATGTTGGTTAATACAATTGTAATTCGTCTAGTTTGTTTGTTTTCTTATATATCTATTTCATAGGACACACGTATAATCTTACTATTCTATATAAAAGAAATAAATAGATTTTTTTTTCTTTCATTCTTTTTCATTTCGTTCGCTTTATATGTTAATACTTGACTAACATATGACTATTTCATGAAACAAAGAAAATAGACGAATTGTTTTCAAATAGAAAAATAAAAACTCTCACAGCACAGCCAAAAATACTCTCACCCTAGATATACAATACAACTATTTTGTTTAAGTACAATATACGCATATCATACAAGCATCCATCTAGTATAATGTGGTTTCATTTTCATTGATACAAGTATATTTCATTTTAATAAACTACTTTCTTTTATTCAAAGAATTTTTAACAAAATTAATATTTACAATAAAGGAAAATATTCATGAAAATTTTTTGGTCGTATAAATCTATCTGCAAGAAGTTTTTTTATTTTAGCACAATTGCCACGTATTGGATTATTGGTAAAATCATTTGTTATCATTGCGAGTGACTTATATTTGATGCACAGATCTAACAAAGAAGGTAGATGAGTATTTTTATCGAAGAGAAGTTGTTCAGCATAATCCACATGTATTTTAACCAGATCGAGAAGAATAAGATGAGGAAATATAATTAATATAGGCGAATGTTGCTTATTTTTTTGTGGTATACAATTAATAACACATAACTCTTTGAGAAGAGGAAAACGTTGAGAGATAATTTTGAATAAATTATATTCAAAAGGACGTCCATCATGCATTGTTAAATGTCGAACTGTATGAAACATGTCACCTTGAAAATAGTTGGCAAGATGAAGAAAATATTGAAATTGATATGTGAGTGAATAGACATGTGACACCACTACGTTGTCCTCTGACCTAACATGTACGTATGAACCAACTTTTCCATATATTTTCCCAATAAAACTATGTTGAATATCTTCATTTGATGGTAGATCAATTTTGATGTTTTCGTTAAGAATAATTGTGTTTATACTGAATGTAAATTTGTTTAATTGTGGCATATGAATAAGAATTTCATCATGTAATTGAATACCATCAATATAAGTCGAGTGATTTTTTAATACTGCCAAGAATAATGTCAATTCTTTAAGATTTATCATTCGACGAAGTAATGGAATAATTTGATCATCATAATGAGATGTAAACATCATTGAAGTCAATGAAAAATATTTCAATTCGGGAAGTTTTTCCTAGAATAAATATACAATTAATATTTTGTTTCTCTTCATAATACAAAAAAATGAAATTATATTTACTTTATTATTTCTATCGTAAAAACTTAATGATATCTTTTTCACATCAATAATTAATGTTAATAAATATTTGAGATGTCGAACAAGATAAAGGCAATCATCAAATGTTTCGACATTAACTTTTAATTTAGTTAAAGTTGATGATACACAACTTGTTGATGGTAACTTATAAATAGAAATTGTAGTCTTTTGATAAGGAAATAATTGACAAAAATTCAAATTAATTAATCGTTGAGATATGGATAAAATCAATGCAAATATATTTGATAGACTTTCAGATACTTTTGATTTTGGTTTATACGGAACATCAACATTAAGATCTGTAATTTGTTGAGTAAGGAGATGATGAAGAATTGAATCACCTAAACATTTAATAAATAAAGACAATTAATTTATGTTACACTAATTTATCAATTTATTAATTAATGAGTAAAATAAACTATGAATAATATACCTGTTAAACATTCAAAAAGTATTTCTTCTTGGAAATTAACAAGTGATAATGAGTAAAGTTGAGGATAATTAAAAGCAAAAAGAATATGTTCCATTGAATATTGTTCAACAATAAGCTCATTTAATTGATGATAAATTCGTGGTAACATTTTTTCAGATATTCTCAAAAGAACATTCTTGTCGATTGAAAAATTACGATTATAATATGATTTGATGACCATACTCGTCGTATCAAGATTCCGAATATGAAGCGAATCAAATATTAATCGATCGAATCGCTCATTAACATCCACAAGTGAATAAAGAGCATCGATCGTCTTCAATTTATTGAAGATGAATAATAATATTTCATTGGGTAAATTGAGTATATTAAGTTTATTGTTATTTGGAATGCCCATGTCTGTCAGACACCGAATACCTTGTTCGTTTCATTTTATACATGCATTCATCATTGCCGTCTATGATCCCAAACAGACTGCGAAAAAAAATAAAACGAAAAAAGCAATGTGATTGGTTTATTTCGACTAAAATTATCTTTTTTTTAGACGATTGATTCATTAATTCAGTGGTAATTGGCTTTTTTTCGTTCTTTCAGTCTGTTTGGGCCTTATGACAACAATGAAATCAAGATAAATATGAATGTTATAAAATTAGACTGTAATGAATGACTGATGCATCATGTACTCCGTCTAACATTTTTTCGTTGTTCATGAGCGTTCCGTTCATCAAGTCATTTTCTTTTATCAGAACGTTTATTATGGAGCTTCACTTTTATAATATGTAGTATTACAGGATGTTTGAAAAGTAACTCCCTATTTTAAATTCTTTATTAGTCTCAAACAACAAAAGATATCGTTCTGACTTTTTATCGTTTTGAAGCATGAACCATGACATTTTATTCTAGATGAAACTAATCGATTGATCGTTTGAATGTCTAAGATCAAGCTCGAAGTTGGCCTAAAGAATACGTGAAAACGACTCATTATTTTCAATCTGTTACCGAAGTCTCATTGTAGCAACAGCCAGAATGATATTGACAACGGATGTTGTTTTTTCTGCTTTGGAAGGTTGTAGTGCGAAGAAGAAGATATCATGTATCTCCTTTACAATTATGCCATACGTAGAAGTTAAGAATTAAAAAAATAGTATCTGTTCTCGTATAAGAATAATTGACTATTCAAAATAATAAGTCATTTTCACGTATTCTCTAGACCAACTTCGAGCTTGATCTTAGACATTCAAACGATCAATCGATTTGTTTCATCTAGAATAAAATGCCATGTTTCATCCTTCAAAACGATGAAAAAATCAGAACGGTATCTTTCGTTGTTTGAGAGTAATAAAACGTTTAAGATAGGGAGTTACTTTTCAAACATCCTGTATATTTGAATAAGATATAGTATATCAAACAGACATTAGAATTCTATTTAAAAAATGCTCAAATGTATTGTCGAATAAAAAAAATATCATGGACTTTGTTTTATTAAATTCAAAAAATGAAAATAACACGAGTATAGACTGTAGGTGATTTGGTTAGAT